GTTTTTGCTGCGCTCTGCACAAACAGGAGTGTTTGTGATTATCACTCTGCCCGACAATAACAGAGTAAAAAACTGAAATTCACTTTCATGTTGTTGGACACCATAACCCTTTTTGGGCTGATGGATACATTTAGAATTTTTTATATTTTACATATTTTTAACATTTAAAAATAGGCTTATAATTATTTATAAGGTGTTTAGGGAGGTTTAAACATAATCCTTTTCTTTCTAACCTGCATTTACAGCAACCTTCTGAATTAAGTTAGGCTGAGAAGTAACTATGCGGATGAGTGTATATTGGCTTAGTAAACCAGGGTTATGAACAAGCCTTTCAACTGGATCCATCATCCATTCTGCCCTCTGTTGCAGCATATCTCTATGAAATGCAGAAATCTTGAACATACTATGGTTTCTTGTTTTATACAACCAGAAAACTATAGTTATTAACTAGAGGTTGAAATAGGTTTAAGATCCTGGTATTTTGAAAAGTCCTACAGACTCTTTGCCCAGGCCTTTGGCGAGGATGACTGACACCCATTTCTTTCTCTTTGTTCCTTTCTAGGTTTTTTTTTTTTTTTTGCCATTGTTGTTCTTCTGTCTTGTGCTGTTTTTGTGTGGTTTTTTTTTAATTGCTTTTGTTCTTAAATGTTTTTAACAATTGTAAACTGCTCAGAGTTGCTGGGAGTCAGGTGGTGGAATATAAATTTAATATATTATGGTTGGTCGCACAGTCAGCCAGTTGTTCAGACTGGATTTGGTGTTTTTATCCACCTATCGAGTCCTTCCCAAGGGCCTGGGATAGGGAGATGTTGCTGTTTAATGCAGATGGTGTTAAAGGTGTCGTCACAGGATGCAAGCTATTCCAAGTAAAGCTGCCTTCTGCAACTGACTGATGGTCTTCAAGTGGTGCTCCAGATGTTTTGGGATTGCACCCAAGGCACCTATTACTATTGGTACTATCTTTGCCATTGTTGTTCTTCTGTCTTGTGCTGTTTTTGTGTGGTTTTTTTTCAAAGATAGTACCAATAGTAATAGGTGCCTTGGGTGCAATGCCATTGTTGTTCTTCTGTCTTGTGCTGTTTTTGTGTGGTTTTTTTTCAAAGATAGTACCAATAGTAATAGGTGCCTTGGGTGCAATGCCATTGTTGTTCTTCTGTCTTGTGCTGTTTTTGTGTGGTTTTTTTTATTTTCTATTACTTTGTCTGTTTTGTGGTCCCACCAGTTCTTGCTTGCAGGCAAATGGTATTTCTTGCAGATATTCCAATGCACATTGTTGCTACTTTGTCATGCCATTGTTTGTAGTCAGTCTGTGCGATCTTCTTGCAGCAGCTTATTATTGTTGTTTGCATAGTCAGCCAAATGTTTAGCCTGGATTTGGCAATATATTATTATCATTATCATTATCAATCATCATCATCATAATCATCTGGCTTCTTAACAGTCATTGCCTACTGATTCTTAGGCAGCTTGGATCAACGGACAAATTACATTGTACTGCAGAGTTCCTTTAACGTGGGAGGAGGGGAGAGTTCCATATTTATTAAAGAATTCTACAAAAGGAGTAGAGAAGGGGATAACTGGACAAAAGAATAAGAAGGTGAGGAGGAAAGAAACTAAAATATGATAATTTAAATGCAGCTAGTGAATGTCCAAAGGTCATCCATGGCTGAATGAGGATTAGAGTCCTGGTTTCTTAAACATCTCTAGATTCCAAAGTGATCAGAGGTCAGAGTCCAGTGGAATTTATACTGAATTGGTTCTAAGAGCATTGAGAGACACTAAACTTTCATGCTACAAATATACTAAAGTGCCAACTGAGAACAAGGAGACATTTAGGACAGATAGCAGAACTGCTAAATCAGACTTCTGCTGTAAAATTGGGACTGCAAGAATTGTTCCTATGCAGCTCCCAGAATTGCTAAAAACTCTCTGCCTTGTTCACCACTCTGTTCAAATTAAAATTTGTATTTTCTCATAAACATGGCTGAAGAACATACCTTCACAGATAAGAGATTTCAGGTAATCAAAGAACATTATCATACTTTAGATCAGTTTGAAAACAAATAGTTGCATAATGATTCAGTAAAGAACACAGACAAACTCAAAATCTTAATTATATAATCATATACCAAAAAGTTTGCACTTGCTTACCGGAGATTTATAGTAAAGCAATTCACCCCCTTTGAGTACAAACCATCGTCGTTTCCAAGTCTTTACTTTACCACCCATTTTTAACAAATATCCAGATTTCTCTAGCAGCTCCTATGTTTAAAAGAAAAATTTTAAATGCTAAAATTATTTATGATTGATGGATTATAAATGAATAAACAGTATTTCCAACCAAACTGATGTTTAAGGTGCTAATAATACAAAATTAGGAAAACTACAGAATCATAACATATACTTTCAATTAAAAACAATTAATCAGAATTAAAAATGCAACAATAATAAAAACACAACCAATCAATGAAATCTATCTTCAGCAGACAAACCAGATTAAGAATATTCTTTTCCGTATGCAGAGAAACAACAGTAAAACATCTAGGCTTACATTGTTTGGCTGGAGGTCTCAAGTCTGGGAAGAAGACCCTCTCTCATATTTTTGTCAAATAGAACCACTGATGGTGGTAGAACTTAAAGAAGGGCCTCTCCTGCAGACTTAAAGCTGAAGAAAATATATATGGGATAACTCAATTTTTCAAAAAGCCACAACTCTGTTCATAGGTCATATGCTGCCTGATTTGTGAAACAGATAGGTTGCCAAATGATGGTATTGTAACACAGGAGATACATGCATGCTATATAATAACTTTCAATCAATTCGCTGGATTCAGAGTATTGACAGGGTTAGATTAAGTTTCTAATTCTTTTCAAAGAAATCCATTGATATTACAGTAATCCGTATGAGATGTAATTAAGCCATATATCATAAGGTCGTGCTCAGACATCTAAAAACTCAATTGGCTGGCTAAGTGCTGTCCTACCCAATACCTAAATTTGTGTCTCCAAGTTCAGGCACAATTTAAGCAACATGCCTAAATTGCAATCTTGAGTCTTCAAAAAGAATGTAAATCCATTCAACACAGGTTGAATTATTATTCCCTAGTCAGAATTTAGACTGACCAGCAGTACCTTTGTATTGTCTGGATTAAGTTTCAGTTTGCTGGCTCTCATCCACTTCATACCAACAACACTAGACACTGATTTAGAATTGAGCTACTTTCCTGGATGTCAGTCAGAAAAGACAATTCAATCGTACCAAACCATAAAACTTCACAAACCTCTCCCTATGTTTCATGCACTGTATGTGTTGAACAGCATGAGAAGGAAAAAGGAATATTAAGGTATAGCATAAGTAAAATGTAATCACATCATATGCAGAATAACCAGCACCATCTTCTGAAAGTAGGAACAAAGCCACCATAAAACAATTTGTAACTATATTTCAGTCAAGTGATTCAGTTATATTACAGTCAATGGTCTCAAAAATTACTGAGAGGATCAGTGGAATCAACAGGGATATATAACACCTGTCTAGTTCTGGATACATAGATTGTGTATCAAAGCAATCCCATAATACAGGGCTATTAGATCTGGACTGCAAAAATGCAGATAATCACTGGATGGCACAGTGGTGGGTTTTTTGTTTCTCTTTGTTGCCATTAGTGGTTGTCCAAAGCCTTGCAGTCAAGACCTGGTAGCCCTATAATCCTGAGGCCTGAAGCCAGATTGAAATAGAATTATGCTGTACCATACTCACATTTTTTCCATTATCACTAGATGTTGAACAGGTTTTAGGCAATTTTTGTTCTGGTTCTGAGTAATCTGTATCAGTTGAGTAGGCATCAGGAGGAATGGCGTAGTCACCTTCTGAAGTCATTGAAGAGAGAGAGACCCCTGAGTGAAAAGCAAATTAATATTAATATTGTTAAGGACTGAATCAACCAACTGCCAGGTTGTATAGACAGACTACACTGCATTATGAAATATGGAAGAAATTAGAGTTTAAGTAGATTAAATTCATTTCTGACAAAGATGCTTCAGAAATGGAAACAACACATCCACTTCACTACAGCTCTCCAGAAAACAGATACCGCAGTGATCATAATCAGAATACGCTGCTGATTACTGCATCATAGTTCTTGTTAATTTTCTTTTGCATAAAGGTACTGTATTTTTCTCTTTGACTTACATAGGTAACCCATAGGTAAGCAGTGACAGAACTCTCCCTTGCTGTGGAATTGCCCCTATTAATTATCTTCCGATTACTGAAAGGCTTATCATATAACTAAAATTCTTGCTATAAATCAGTCTGAGAAATTAGGGATCTAGGGAAATTGCTTAATGTGTCTGTTTGATAAATCCAGGTTAATGGAGCAGGCATGAGTGACAAACAAGGTTTGTAACAACCTTTAAAACAATTTCCACTCTTCAACTATAATAGGGATTTACGATTTAATAATTCAGAACTCTTTTCTATATTTCAGTAATTGGGAGGAAGAAAAGGGAGACAATGCCTGACCTTATTGCTCTTTGCACTCAAACTGGTTTGCTGATCAGTTTGGATTACTATGTTATATCCTGCCTCTTCATTCAGGAGCTTAAGTAGGCATGTGCTCTCTCCTATTTTTCCCTACTATAACAACACTGTGAGGTAGGTTGGGCTGAGAATGATTGGTCCTCAGTTACCTAGTAAGCTTCCATGATTAAAGGTGGATTAGAACCTAGGTCTCTCCCACCTAGTTCAGCAGCCTAACCACTATAGCACACTGATTCTCAATTAATTGTTTTCTTTTTAAAAAAATATTTTTTATTAAAGTTTATATATATAAAAACTAATACAAAACTAAAAAATGTACAAACAAAAAGAAAAGGGGAAAAAAAGGGAAAAGAGAAATATAAAAGACGACGTCCCCCTCCCTCCAAACAAGTACATGTATTTACAATAATTTAACAACTTCTCTAATATTACTAAAAAAATAGCCCTCTTTATCCCTTTTCTCATCCCTAAACAATAACCGAATTATAAAAAAAATATTCAACAATCTAATCAGCAAAAGCATTAGGAGTGCCAGTAATAATAAACTTTATATTTTAAGCTTAAACAAATAGTCTATTCTGCATTTTGATTTCTAAGTTTTTCTCGGAAATGAAACCTAAAAGATCTCTTCCCTTAAGCATACAAAAGACCAATAATAATCACATATGTTTTTTAAACTAAACCAAATAAATCAGTTTTACGGGTATAAACCACCGTCTTACAGTCCTGGTCAGAAAAAGAAAATTCAATATTAACAATCCAAGATCAAAACATAGAGAGTTTAACTTTGATCTGATAAGTTCACTTTAAATTCCTTTCTCTTCTTTTTGAAAAGCTCAGTCTTCAGTCTCTTCTCCAAATAAAACCCCA